AGCAATCAGCACAGTGGGACCTGTTGCCCATCAGCAGCGCGGCAAGCTCCTTGACGTTATGGACCAGAATCTTCCGGAAGCCACCGGGCAGCCTGTGCTGTTTTCTTGTTGCTCCTGTAACCGGTGTTGGGCATCAGGATCTGGCCCTTGAGTCTTCTGCGCCCCCTGTTTTCAGTGCCTCTGGGTTCCCGCCCGTCCCGCTCAATCTTCACACGTCAATCTGACTGGTGCCGCAGGAACGTCCTGGGCCTCTTTTGGACGGTCTTGGGCTTCACAGGGTCTGAGGGCAGCCGCGGTGCCTTTAAAGGTGACAGGGACCTGGACACACACAACAGCCCGGCCTTTAGCACTGGTCACTGTCGTGCGGTCGCCAGCCGCCCAGCAAGCAGGCGACGGAGTGGGGCTCTGCCAGGCCTGTGCTCCCTCCGTCTGCGAAGCTGGCGCGGCCTGGGAGGGTCTTTCTGTGTTCTTGATGGTGTTCTTCGAAGCACCAGTGGTTTTACTTGTGACAACGTCCAGTTGATCTTGTTGTTACTGCTCTTGGTGTCATCCTAAGAAGCCAGTGCCTCGCCTGGGTTCTTAAAGGTTTACTTCTGTGTGTTTTGCTCAGAGTTTTGTAGCTTTAGCTCCTCCATTTAGGTCGCTGCTTTTGAGAAAACTTTCGTGTATGTGGAGAGGCTAGTGTCCACTTTGTTCTTTTGCGTGTCGATATCTCGTCCCAGCACAGCTGTTGAAAGACAGTTCTCTCCCCGTTGGGGGTCTTGGCACCTTGTCGTAAACCTCGGGCCTCTCGGTTCTGCGCGGGTCTGTGCTTATCCTTAGCGGGGCCATGCGGTCTCGGTGACGGGTCTCCCAGTGAGGTTTGAGATCGGGGAGTGTGTGAGTCCTCTCACTTCGTTCTTCTGCGATATTGTTTTGGTTTCTTGGGTCCCTTGAATTTGCACATGAACTTCCAGATCAGCTTGTCAGTGTCTGCAGAGAAGCTGTATTGAGTCTGTATTGAATGTGGGGAGAATAGGAACAGTATTAAGTCTTCTGATACATGAATTTGGTTGTCTTTCCATTGATTTAGGTCTTTAATTTCTTTCAGTGCTACATCTTAGTTTTCAGGGTCTAAGTTTCACATACCTTTGTTAAATGCATTCTTAAGCGTTTCATTCTTTTTGATGCCATTATATGTGGGATTGTTTCTTTAATTTCATTTTTTTTCTTTTTAAAAAAAATATATTTTATTGATTTTTCACAGAGAGGAAGGGAGAGGGATAGAGAGTCAGAAACATCGATGAGAGAGAAACATCAATCAGCTGCCTCCTGCACACCCCTCACTGGGGATGTGCCCGCAACCAAGGTACATGCCCTTGACCGGAATCGAACCCGGGACCCCTCAGTTCGCAGGCCGACGCTCTATCCACTGAGCCAAACTGGTCAGGGCTTTAATTTCATTTTTGAGTTGTTCCTTGCAAGTGTATAGAAATGTAATTCATTTTTAAAAAAATATATATTTTATTGACTTTTTACAGAGGGGAAGGGAGAGGGATAGAGAGTTAGAAACATCGATGAGAGAGAAACATCAATCAGCTGCCTTCTGCACACCCACTACTGGGGATGTGCCCGCAACCAAGGAACATGCCCTTGACCAGAATCGAACCTGGGACCCTTGAGTCCGCAGGCTGACGCCCTACCCACTGAGCCAAACTGGTTAGGGCTGTAATTCATTTTTGTACATTTATCTTGTATATTGAAACCTTGCTGAATTTGTTTCTAAGTTCTGATTTTTTAGTGGATTTCTTAAGACTTGCTGTACCCAGGAAATATCCCGTCACCTTGTTCGATAGTCATACTTCTTTCTAATCTGGGTGCCCTTTACTTCTTCTCGCCCGATTGCTCCGGACAGGTCTCCAGGACAGTGTGGAGGGAGGTGGCGTCTCGTTTCCTCTTTGGGCCGAAGTCTGACGGGAGCCGTGGGCTTTGCAGATGTTCTTGATCAGAGGGAGGGCACTTCCTTCGAATTCTAGTTTGTGGAGCCTTTTTCCGTGAAGCGTGTTGACGTTTTACAGTGTCTGTTCTGCTGAGATGATCATGTGGTCTTTGTCCTTTTTTTCTATTAATATGGTATTTTGTAGTAATCGATTTCTGGTTGTTTAACTGATTCCGGACACAGTGGATCTGCAGCCGCCTGTCACTGCTGGAGCCCAGTCCATCGGAGGCAGGGTTGAATCACGTAGGAGTGTTTGTCCCAGTGATACGGCCGCATGGGGAGAGCAGTCGACCGGTCACCCTGGAAATGCTGCTCTGCCCCCCTCGCCAGTGGCTGATTATATGCAGGTCAGCGGGTGGGGAGAGTCGACAGGTAGTGAGTCCCGGGTCTGCCTTCTCTCACGGTCCCTGCAGAGACCAGCCCGAGTGCTGCAGAGAGGCGCCCTTCAGGTGGCTGTCCTTGGTGTGGGCTCCGGGCGGCCTGACCCCCAGGGCCCGCTGTCCCTGTAACACAGCCTCCGTCTCCCAGGTCCACAAGGAAATCGCTCATCTGTAGTGAGTAAGGGGACCACCACAAACAACTGTGGTCCTATGCTTATACACGCCCGCCACCCGCCCCCCCATCAAAACTAGCCTTGCATGGGGAAAAAAGGAGGCTTATGTAACACTTTTTAAAAAAATTTTATTGATTTTTTTACAGAGAGGAAGGGAGAGGGATAGAGAGTTAGAAACATCGATGAGAGAGAAACATCGATCAGCTGCCTCCTTCACACCCCCTACCGGGGATGTGCCCGCAACCAAGGTACATGCCTTTGACTGGAATTGAACCCGGGACCCTTGAGTCTGCAGGCCGACGCTCTATCCTCTGAGCCAAACCAGTTAGGGCAACACTTTAAACAATAAAGAATTAAAAAATAACTAGCCTTGCATTCCTTGGAAAAATCCCATTTTGTCACGTAATAGAATTATTTTTTTAATCCTCACCTGAGGGTATGTTTCCATTGATTCTAGAGAAAGGAAGGGAGAGGGAGAGAGAGAAACATTGATGTGAAAGAGAAACATTGATTGGCAGCCTCATGTATATGCCCAGACTGGGGATGGATCCTGTAACCTGAGTATGTGCCCAGACTGAGAATTGAACTCGCAACCCTTTGGTGCATAGGACGATGCTCCAACCGAGTCACACTGGCCTGGGCATGATAGATACATTTAAAAAATGATCTTGCCTGGCCAGCGTGGCTCAATGGTTGAGCGTCGATCTGTGAACCAGGAGGTTACGGTTTGATTCGGTCAGGCCGCATGCCCGGGATCCCCAGTAGGGGGCGTGCAGGAGGCAACAGTCATTGATTCTCTCTCATCATTGATGTTTCTGTTTCTCCCTCTTCCTTCCTCTCTGAAATAAATAAAAATATATTTAAAAAATGATCTTATATTTCGTTCACTGGCATTTTGTTTGCTTTTGCATGCATATTTATAGACATACTAGTGGCCCAGTGCACAGATTCGTGCACATTGAAAGGAAATTAATTAGAAGAAATATTTTAATATTGCTATTTGCCCTTTCTCTATAATAGAAGTGTCAGAGATGAAAGAAAATTGGTAAAATGTATATGAAAATAATATACCAGTATAAATTGATTAACAAGTAGACAATAACAACATGACATAACAACAACAAAGACTTGATATAAAAACAAGAAAAATGATATAAAAACAACATTGAGCCCTAATGGGTTTGGCTCAGTGGATAGAGCGTCGGCCTGCGGACTGAAAGGTCCCAGGTTCGATTCCGGTCAAGGGCATGTACTTTGGTTGTGTGCACATCCCCAGTAGGGAGTGTGCAGGAGGCAGCTGGTTGATGTTTCTCTCTCATCGATGTTTCTAACTCTCTATCCCTCTCCTTTCCTCTCTGTAAAAAATCAATAAAATATGTTTTTAAAAAAAGGAAAAAAGAGAAAAACAACATTCAGAAAAAATGACTGATAAATTGATTAAACTTACTCTGATACCTCCCTGTATACCACATTAAGAGCAAAACCACTCTCAGAGCGCTTGACTGATTTCCCTTGCTTTATATGTACCGCAATTGCACGAGTCAACATTTATTTTTAAATTGCCAGTGCGCGTCACAGGCACCGGCCGACCGGTTGGACGGACGGACGGTTGGTCCCTTAGCCTGTTAGGTACATAGAACAGAGTGGTCCGTAGTGTTCTTCGCTGGCAGAGACCTGGTTTGTTTCTGGTGCGGGTGATGCTGGCGCCGTGGAGTGAGCTGGGAAGTGTTCCCTCTGCTCCTGGGTTTCAGAAGCATTTCTGAAGGGTTGGCGTAAATTCTTCCTGATACTTGTTGGAACTGACCAGGGAAACAAACCTGGGCCTGGGCTCTCTGTGTAGTGTTTTCATGACTCATTCATGTCCATCAGATGTTCTTTTTCCCATTGAATTCCGGTGGTTTTAGTCTTTCTGGGAGTCTCTCCAGTCACCTCAGCTACCGCGCTTGTTGCTGTACAGCTGTTCATGATGCTCTCCCACAACGCCCTCTGCCTGTAGGGTCGACAGTCACGTCCCCCCCGCACCCTGACGTCAGGAATTCGAGTCTTCCCTCCCTCGCTGTCAGTCGGTCTAGCTAAAAGTTTGTCGACTTTGCTCGTCTTTTCAAAGGACCACCCTCAGTTCCTTAGGTTTTCTCTACCGTTTTCTGAGGCCGTGCCTTCTGAAGAAGCAGCCAGACCGGTGGCTGCTCAGTGGTCCCCGAGCTCCTGCGGGGTCCCTGTGGTTGCCTCTTTTCCTCCCCGCGTGGCCGGGCCGCACGTGGGCGGCTCCTGCTCCCGGCTCCCCGGAACGGCTCTGCCTTTGTCTGCATCATGTTTCTATGTCAAGTTATTTGGAAAAGTTGGTTTATGGCTAAAACACTCCCCTCACATCCATGAAATGAAACCTCACAGGACAACAAAACTGGGCTGCACGGTTAACACTGGCCCATGAAGCAGTCCTGACGGAACGTTGCAAAAAGACATATAAACATGAACATGGACTTCACACGTGTGCAGAATGAGGTGACTCGTTGCCTGGAGACCGAGCCTTCGGTGGAAACCCCTGCAGGGAGTTGCCAGGTCAGGTTCAGGTGTCGCCCTGAGGAGGCGGGCTGGGAAGGGGCCGGGCGCTTTCAGCCCTGCTGTGGGCCGGAATGCGGTCTCTCACTGCGAGGCGCGTGGGAGTCCCTGCGCGCGACCCTGGCTTTGCCACCTGCTGGCTGGGCTGACCTGGGCAGGCTCCCGAGCTTCCTGTCCGGTTCCCTTCCCTTCCCAGCTTCGGGAGGCCTCCGCGCTCCTCGGCGGTGGTCTCCTCTCCACTGCACAGCCAGCACTGGCACCACTCGCCCACCACTCCACGGGCGCTCCTGAGGGACCTGCGATTAGATGGGGCCACCTGGGACTCCAGGACAAGCCCAGGTCCGTCCTCAGGCACACCCACAACGCCCGCTGTGCCCGCCAGGCCACACAGCACAGGTTCGGGTCAGGATGTGACACCCTTCAGGCCCTTACTCTGCAGCCACAGCGCCTGAATGACAGGAGTCCTCTGATTTCAGGAAGGTCTGAAAATCAGAAGAAAAGGGTGATGCCCCTTAAGGAGTTGGACCGAGGGCCTGACAGGGAGCGGCAGAGGGAGCACAAATGACAGAAGGGGTAGGAGCTGCTCCCTCACCAGGACGGAGGAGATGCACCCGCAGAGCCCACGTGCCTCCGTCAGATTCGCGGCGACCCGCCGGAGCGGGCGTTGTGCGCTGGCCGTGGGCGCCAGCAGCCCCGCTGCAGCAGTGCGCCCCGCGTGTCCCAGGCCTCCCTGTCCGGAGCTTCTCCTCGGAGCACAGCGTCCTGGGCAGCATTTGTCCCCAGAGGTGTGTGCTGCTGTGTTACCGTCACCAGCCGTTGGAGCAGCTGCGTCTGGCAGTCAGCACTGGCCGCACGCTCATGGCGGAGCCATATGGTGGGACAGTGGGAGACACAGGCGTTCTGTCCGGGGGATGGCCAGGCAGGGATGAGTCCGCTGGCGCTCATTCCATTAGCACAGATTTCCAAGACTTAATTCAGAAGTGACGATAGAGCTACAAGGAAGCACAGAGGGACGCACAGGAAAAGCCTGTGTGCCCTTGTCCTCCCCGTGCTTGTAAGTTCACGTATGCTGCTTACGGTTTTATAGCTGCCCGGCAGTACGTGCAAAGTAGGTCAATGCATTTAAGTAAATTGGAGAAAGTAATGACGTGGGCAACTAGGCCTGCTCTATTGCTAAGCAAAGAGGTAGGATTTCATTCTGTTTCGACAAATGAAAACACTCATCTGTGTACCTAGCAGCCCAGGTCTGCGTTTGTCCCTCCAGCCCGGCCCCGCTGCCTCAGCCTTTCCGCGGTCTCCTCCGTGTGGCCGGGCCTCAGCCAGGCCGTGCTCCCCGCGTGGAAGCTGAGGGGTGGCCCCTGCCAGCTGGCAGCGGGGCTGTGCTGCCAGGCACCCACACTCCCCCTCCTGCCCGCCGCCCGTCCTGGTGGCATTATCTCCTGCGTGTCTCTCAGGGCGGCTGGTGGCTGGGCAGCCCCAGGCCTCACCTCCGTCTGCCGAACAGGAGAAGGGGAAAGCCGGGGCGTGGGGTGCGAACCCACTGTCTCTGCCTGTTAGGCAGGGAGGCCTGCCACGTATTGCTGACCGGCCGCAGGGTCACGTGGCCACCCCTGGTTGGACGTCCCCAGGAGGCGGGGCTGCGCAGGTGACCCACCTGGTTGTCTGCCATGTGGGTCGTGTTGCTTCCATCTTATTCTAAGTTTATCCCGATGAGCGTCAGACTGTTACAATAAAGCCATTAATCTTTAAAACTTGTGTGTGCCTTTTTTGTGCTTGTGCATCGGCTTTAGACAGAACGGTGCCAGCTGGGGGCTTCCTGATGGCATTCTGTGGCGCGTGTCAGGTCCTGCCTGTGACATGCGGCCGAGCGCAGAGGCTGCCGGGACTGCCCTGCGGCTCCAGCAGCCCGGGCCGGAGGGTGACCGGGCGGCGTTGGCGGAGCGCTCGCCTCAGGCGGGGGTCCAGGGCTGGCCTTGGCCCCGTGGCCACGGAGTCTAGGGAGCGACAGAAGCTAACGTGCGCTCCCTTTCTTTTGAACCAGCATCCAGCACGTGTACGGCGCCCAGCACCCCCCTTTTGATCCACTGTTACACGGCACGTAAGTGATACCCAACTCTCCCGGGGCTTCGGGGTCCTGGGGCTGGGGGACCCTCCCGCTCCCTGGAGTTCCTGGGGGAGGGCACGGTCTTCCGTCCAGCAACACGCGTTGGACACTGTTGGTCTTTCACGCTCGTCCTCCTGGGGGCGGGGGGAGGGCAGATGTGGAAGGACAGCCCGAAGTGGGCCGCCTGTGCAGGGGACACGGAGCTGGCTCCCCCACCGGCGGGTGGTGGTGTCCCTCGCTCTCCACGCACCCGCCCAGCTGCCCACGGCCCCCTCTGCCCTGTGTGTCCCGTTCCTTGCCACAGGTGAGCGAGAGGAAGGTATGGCCCAGATGTTGTCTGCAGTCATACTGTGGGGCTCTCATATCCCCATCCGTGCCCCAAAGGCCTGTCTGTGTCTGTGAGCGGTCCCTTCACCCTCCCCACCCCCCCGCAGCCTCGGGAGCGGGCAGGGACGCTGGGAGGAGAGAATGTATGGGCCCTGCCAGGTGAGGCTTGGGCACCTGAGCACCTGGCGGCAGCGCTGTGCTCCGCACAGACCGCGTCTGCCCTGCCTGAGCCCGCAGCTTCTCCCGCCCCTGGCTGGCTCTGGTCCGCCTGTGCGCTCTCCTCCGCCAGCTCCATTGAAGCGGAAAGCGGTGTGTGCTGTTCCCCTGGGGGCTCCCTCTGACTGTGGGGGAGCTTCAGGGCTCCGAGGGTCCAGTGACTGCCTTTGCCTTGCAGCTTGCTCAAGGCCACGCCCAAGGTGCCCACCACGCCCGTGAAGGCCAAGAGAGTCAGCACCTTCCAGGAGTTTGAGAGCAACACCAGCGACGCCTGGGATGCGGGCGAAGACGACGACGAGCTCCTGGCCATGGCGGCGGAGCGCCTCAACTCCGAGGTGGTCATGGAGACGGCCCACCGCGTCCTGCGAGACCACAGCCAGCGGCAGGAGCAGCACAAGCTGCAGGAGCCCCCAGGGCCCGGGCAGAAGCCCAAGCCCTCGGCAGAGCCGCCTCCGGTTGCCAGCGGGGACCTGCGGCTGGTGAAGTCTGTCAGCGAGAGCCACACGCCCTGTCCTGCAGGTGGGCTGGGGCGGAGCTGGTGTGCACTCCCGCAGGAGGGGGAGCCCTGCCCTTGCAGCAGGAGCCCTGCCCTGAAGGCCCCGCAGGCTTCCCCGGGGGAGAAGCGGCGCGCAGCTCTGTGCTGGCTCTCAGCCTCTGGCCTTCTCGTGGAGGGCGGCCCTGGCTCTGTGGGCCCGTCCTGAGAGGGTGCAGTGAGCACGGCTCGGGCCTCCTAGGTGTGCGCTGGTCGCTCTCGGGGGCATTTCCAGCAGGGCCAGGCCAGCTGTACGGGCAGAGGATGCACCTCCTGTGGCAGCAGAGGTGCTGCCTCCAGGGACACTCACGTGGGCGCATGGTCTGCGGTGTGTGTGCCGATGAGGAACTCCGGGGGGGCCTGTCTGCACTCCCGCCTGCCTGCGGCCCTCAGCGGCCGTCCTCGCCACGGTGCTCACTTCCTGCACTTGCTGTGCGGGAGGGTCTGGGATGGGGGACCCAGTGCCTGAGCATCCGCCACGGGCCGGCGCTGTGGGCTGGGCCTCACCCAGGGTGTGGGGGTCTTGTGTTCACTCTGGCCTCACCTGGAGGGCGGTTCTGCTCCTGGGGACATGGGGCAGGGTCTGGGGACATTTTCGGTTGTCACATTGGGGCTGGGTGTTGCCACTGCATGTAGTGGGCAGAGGCCAGGTTGCTGCGCCATATCCCTCGTGTCCAGGATGGGCCACCCACGGGAGCTCCCCTGCAGGTGCACAGCAGGGGCGAGGCCTGCTGGCCTGCTCTCCAGCCGGGGTGCTCCTGGTCCTCCGGAGACTGACCCGGCTGGTGCCAGGACACCGGGCGTGTCGTCAGCTTCAGCTTGCTCAGGGGCGGTACGAAGGAGAACACGGCAGGCCTGGTTCTCAGGGACCCGGTCCCGGTCCGTGTGCCAACTGGCACTCCATCGGGAGACGCGGGGCACGGATGCTCTCTTTTCCGTGAGGCAGATGGGACACGGCGGTGGACAGGAGCCAGGAGCACCCAGCGTGGGAGCCCCGGCTCGGTCTCGTGGAAGGCGGGGGCTTGTCGGCGAAGGCTTCAGAGGGGAGCCCTCCCGGCGGGGAGTCCCAGCCAGCAGGCCTGGCCTCCTGCCCCTGAGGTGGGTCATGTTTGCAGCCTCATCTGCAAATTCCCAGAACAGGCCTCGTCCCAGGTCCCTGTTCCTGTTGGTGTCCGCTGTCATTCCATAAACGCTGTTGAAGTAAAATAGCTTGTCCTCAGGGCCTGCCGACCACGGGCCTCCCACTGTGCCCTGCCCTCCCCACCCTCCATGCTCCCCCCCTCGTCCCTGCACAGGGACATCCCAGGCCAGGCCTCTGCTCAGAGGAGGACCTGTGACTCTATTTTTTTAATTTTTAAAAATATTTTTGTTGAAGGGAGAAGGAGAGAGAGAGAGAAACATCAGTGATGAGAGAGAATCACGGATTGGCTGCCTCCTGCACGCCCCTCACTGGGGATCCAGCCTGCAACCCGAGCATGTGCCCTTGACTGGAACTGAACCTGGGACCCTTCAGTCCACAGGCCAACGCTCTATCCACTGAGCCACACGGGCTAGGCCTGTGGTTTCCATTGTACTTTGTTGCTTACATGACAGTGCTTTGTAATGCATGTCCTGGAGTGTTCCACTCCCCGGACGGTCCAGTCAGCACTGCCTCTCCTGCTCCGTGACCTGCCACGCCGGCATTTATGTTGGAGGCCTGTCACGGCTGCGGCCGTGGGGAGCAGATGTCCCCTGCGCAGTGCCCACGGGGCCCGCCTGCTGCATCTGCTGCGGCCCTCGGCCTGGGTGGATGGCGGCCTGGGGCTCAGACGGTGCCGCCTGGGCTCGTAGCTGCCTCCGCGCCCGCCCCACACCGCCCGCTGCCCTGACTTTCCTAATGACTGTCCGAGGAGGCCTCATGCCTGAGTCAGATGCACTTGCTTGTTTTAGGGAGCCATTGGGTTCATGGCAAAGCACATCTGTGGCTGGGAAGGCTCAGTGGGCATGGCCAGGTGACAGCTGTCCCCGTCACTGGCCATGGCGGAGCCGCGCACGGGGTCTGGTGTGGCTGCCCACAGGTGGCGTTAGACCCCGCCCTCAGGGACCCTCGGGGACTTGCCGTGTTTCCCTCGCACCGAAGCAGGGAGACCTGGTGCCGGTCTTCCTGCTTCCTGGGGACGCCACTGTCACCTCCCACATCCCTCCGCCCTGCCTCGGAGCGGGGCCCGCGGTGCACTCTGCCCGGAGTGTGCGGTCCTCCCTGCCTCAGCGCGGCCCGGCTCGTCTCTGAGTGCAGGTGCGTGCCGTCCACCTTCACCGCCACACTGTGGCCTGAGCCTCCTGCTGGCACGCTCCTGTGGCTCCTGAGACGTGGTTGAGGAGTGGATTCCGGGGAGAGAGCCTGAGGCCGCCCGGTCCTGCCCGCGCTCCCCAGGCGAGTGGAAGTGCTCCCTGCTCTGCCCACTTCGCAGGCTTTTCTGGAAGCTTATCTGGGCCAGACTCTGCCCCGAGGCCGCGGATGCGGCCTTCCCCTCCCCTTGTGCTGGAATGAGCTCACTCGGGCCCAGGAGCCGTGGGGGTGCCGCCTCCCCCGGCCTGGCGGCAGCTGCCATTCACGACGTCAGCACCTTCCTCCTCGGGGCTCGCTCCTCGCCCGTTTCTGTGGGATTATTTTTACTCCACTTCCAATTGCAGTTGGAAGATGTGACAGCCGTGGGGCTCAGCCGCAGGGCTCAGAGCCCGCCTGCCTCCTGCTGCTTGTCCCTGGTTGGTCTTGGTGGCTCTTTGTCGAATGACCCGAAGGCCTATGGCTCTTCCCTTGGGCTGTCCCTGGTCCTGGGCTGCGGATGTGGCCTGCTCTCACCTTATCCCTGCGGGTGGTGTCTCCATGGGCGCAGGACCTGCCACCTGGGGAGGGCGGGGCCAGCTTGTGCTTGTCGTACAGCCCCCCCCCCCATCTGCAGCAGGTTGGCTCTATTTGCTCCTCATGGCGCGGGGAGGCGCAGGCAGGGGCAGAGGCCTGCTCGCACAGCAGTGCTGCTCGCACAGCGTCCCGGTCGCGGGCTTGCCCTAGCCTCTGCCTGCTGTCCTCAGTGCTCTTCACACTGCGTCCCCTTCACGGGCAACGGGCTTTCCTCCGGCTCCGGCCCCGGCAGCTCCGCAGGCCCCTCCTCCCTGCCTGCACCCACAGATGCTCGGGCCACGCCACCCCGCAGGCCCGATCGGGGGCGTCCTGGCCGCTGTCAGCTCAGGGGTCGGGAGTGTCCTGGTTGTCTGGTCTTGCTGTTCTGCGGGGTGTGTCTGTCCCACTGGTGGGTGACACTGCACCAGCAGAGCGAGGGGTGACCTCACAGGTGTTAGCGAGGTCAGGTCCTGCTCTGGAGACCAGGGCCTGCCCCATCAGCGCTGTGGGAGGGGACACTGACCCCAGTGTTCACGAGGAAGTGGCTCGTGGCCGCCCTCCCCTCCCCTCACCCTCTTCTCTCTCCCCCGCAGAGAGCGCCAGCGGCCCAGCCCCTCTGCACAGGTCCCAGTCGCTCCCGCACGCGGCCACCGTGGCCCTGGGCAGCACGTCCGACCCCGGGACCCTCAGCAGCTCGGCGCTGAGTGAGAGAGAGGCCTCCCGGCTCGACAAGTTCAAGCAGCTCCTGGCCGGCCCCAACACGGACCTGGGTAAGTCTTGCTTCCGAGCGAGGCGGTTTTCGGAGGACCCGGTCCGTCCGTGGCACGTCCTGCCCTTGCTTCCCTGTCACTCACCTCGTGTGCACGTGGTAGTTCATGTGCTTCCAATGCGATTCCATCGAGTACTTCCTGTTCTTTTTCCTTAAGCCCCAGGGGCCCTCCTGCCTCTGAGAGCCGCCGTGGTGAGCTCTGCCCAGCTGGGCAGATGGACCTGGCTGGTCACTGTGAGCCTGGGCACGGCGCTGGTGACCGGCGTCATGACCACTGCAGTCTGCGCTTCCCTGCTGGGCCTCCTTGTTGGGGCAGAGCATGAAGGCTAGGGCCTTGCAGGGGGCAAAGGCCAGCAGGGGCGGTGCAGCCAGGAGGGGACAGTGCGGCCAGCAGGGGGTGGTGTGGCCAGCTGGGGCAGTACAGCCAGGAGGGGACAGTGCGGCCAGCAGGGGGTGGTGTGGCCAGCTGGGGCAGTACAGCCAGGAGGGGACAGTGCGGCCAGCAGGGGGTGGTGTGGCCAGCTGGGGTGGTGCAGGGGCAGTGCGGCCAGCAGGGGCAGTACAGCCAGGAGGGAGCAGTGCGGCCAGCAGGGGGGGTGTAGCCAGCAGTGTTGCTGTGGGTCGTGTGCCGCGTGGACGCTCCGAGCATG